TTGGCAGTGGAAGATACTGATGATTGACCAGATCACTGTCTTTAAGAGGGCTCCATTTTCAAATGAATAACATGTATTTTTGTAACTGTGAACCATATCCTCTATGCTTTTTTCCTTTTGAAAGTAGAGTGCTATATTTTTTCCTTTCACACAGAGCAACACATTAGCCCAGTTAACAATAAAAATTACTGATATTATCAGGGGATCAGAGTGTAATCTGTAGTTTATTCCAAGACTTTGCATATTTCTTTAATAGTTCTCATAGGATATAATCCAAGGTGCCAAACCAAACAAAGATGCTAACATGAAATCTTTGTTTATTTAAAATGTGGTCACTTCTAAGCAGACATTTCTCCAAAGAAGACATACATATGACTAATAAACAAGTGAAAAGCTGCTCAACACTGCTCAACATTAGAGAAATGCAAATAAAAACTACAATGAGGTATTGTCTCACACCAGTCAGAATGGCCATCACCAAAAAGTCTACAGACAATCAATGTTGGAGAGGGTGTGGAGAAAAGGAAACCCTCCTGCACTGTTGGTGGGAATGTAAATTGATACAACCACTATGGAGAACAGTATGGCGATTTCTTAAAAACGATGAATAAAACCACCACATGACCCAGCAATCCCACTCCTGGGCATATACCCTGAGGAAACCATAATTGAAAAAGACACATGTACCCCAATGTTCAGTGCAGCATTATTTACAATAGCTAGGACATGGAAGCAACCTAGATGTCCACTGACAGATGAATGAATAAAGAAGTTGTGGTACACATACACATAAGTGTATACTGGAATCTTATTCAACTATAAAAAGGAACACGTTTGAGTCAGTTCTAATGAAGTGGATGAACCTAGAGCCTATTATACAGAGTGAAAGAGAAAGACAAATATGGTATATTAATACATATATACGGAATCTAGAATGGCATCACCGACTCGATGGGCACGGGTTTGAGTAAACTCCGAGAGTTGGTGATGGACAGGGAGGACTGGCGTGCTGTGATTCATGGGGTCGCAAAGAGTCGGACACAACTGAGCGACTGAACTGAACTGAGAAAGATGGTACTGATGATCCTCCTGCAGAGCAGCAAAGGGGATGCAGACATAAAGGACAGACTTGTGGACACAGCAGGGGAAGGAGAGGGTGGGATGATTTGAGAGAGTAGCATTGAAACACACGCATTACCATATGTAAAAATAGATAGCTGGTGGGAATTTGCTGTATGGTGCAGAGAACCCAAAGTCAGTGCTCTGTGACAACCTAAGAGGGGCGGGATGGGGAAAAAAGGTGGGAGGGAGGGGACATATGTATACCCATGGCTAGTTCATGTTGACATGTGGCAGAGACTCTCACAATATTGTAAAGTAATTATTATCCAATTAAAAGTAAAATAAAAACGTGGTTACTTCTTTAACCATGAAAAAAATACACATGCTAACTCTGACTTCAATAATCACTTTAAAAGACTCTGAGTCACTGAATTTTAAAACTGTATTGCATAGCATAGCATAATTTATTAAAAAGTTAATAGTGGATACCAGGAATTTAAATAAATAAATAAAATAAAATATACCTCATGGGACTTTAATTCTATGATGTAGGGAGGAGCATAAATTGTTAATTTTAATGTATTCAAATTAAACAACATGAAAAATCTTATACTTACTCTGAACATCCCTAGTGGAATACCCTAAGAACATTTTTAAAGTTTAAAAGTATAAAGTTTTAAGTTCAAATTTTAAATGTTTAAAGAACTTTAAAGCAAGTAAGCGTCTTTTAGTATTTACAGTAATATTATTGTTATTCTTAAATTATTATAGGATAAACAATTCTGTTACTGTGCATAGGAATTTTTTTTTCATGTAAGTAAAAAGTGGTACAAATATAAAATCTAATAAATTAAAACCTTTAATCTTAAATGTGAACAAAAAATTATCAACATAAATTCATAATGTAATTTTCCTTAAAAAAATTTCCAAGCTCCTTCAATGGAGAAGGCCTAGAAACAATAAGCAACTCAATAGCAACTAGAACACTGACAAAGCTTAACATCAGGCCAGTTGGCAAATAAGGCAGTTAAGAATCCAACTGCATTATCACAAAACAAAGCAACGAAAAGTAGATAAAATCAATAAACTGATAAACAGCACATGTATCAACAAGATGAGAGTATAATTCATCTAACATATTTAAGAGATCATAGTGGTATTTTAATCAAAGTATAGTTGATGCACATTATATAAGTTGTAGATGTACAATATAGTGATTCACAATTTTTGTAAAGATAATACACCATTTAGAATTAAAATAATATTGGCTATATTCCCCATATTATACACTATACCCTTGTAGCTTATATCACACATAATAGTTTGTACCTCTTAAACTCCTAACCTCATAATTTCCCCCATTCCCTCTCCCCACTGGAAACCACTAGTTTGTTCTCTGTATCTGTGAGTCTGTTTCTTTTTTTGTTATAGTCACTAGTTTGTTGTATTTTTTAGATTCCACATATAAGAAATATCATAGAGTATTTGTCTTTGTCTGATTTATTTCATGTAGTATAATGCCCTCCAGGTCTAACCATGTTGCTGCAAATCACAAAACTCTGTTCTTTTTTTATGGCTGAGTAGTCTGTCTATATGTACCATACCTTCTTTATTTATTCATCTGTTGATGGACACTTAGGTTGCTATAGATTTGTAGTATAGTCTTAATTAGGGATTCTGATTCTTCCAACTGTTATTCTTTCTCAAGACTGCTTTGAGTCTTGAGAAATAATCATTTGGTACCTTTCATGCTTCCAATTTATTCTAGTTCTGTGACAAATGCCATTGGCATTTTTTTGCGGAGTGGGGGGCTGCACTTGGTCTTCATTGCTGTGCATGGGCTTTCTCTAGTTGTGAAGAGTGGGGGCTAATACTCTCCAGTTGAGGTGCATGGGCATGTCACTGTGGTGGCTTCTTTTGTTGTGGAGCACTGGCTGTAGGGTGTGAGGGCTTCCGGAGCTGTGGCTCATGGGCTCAGAAGTTGCAGCTTGTGGGTTTCAGAGATCAGGCTCATTAGTTGTAGCATAGTGGCTTAGTTGCCCCATAGCATGTGGAATCTTCCTGGACCAGGGATCAAACCCTGTGTCCCCTGCATTGGCAGGCAGATTCTTTACCACTAGAATACCACGGAAGTTTGTCATTGGTATTCTGCACTGAATCTGTTGATTGTCTTTCACCTCTGTAGGCAGGTTTATTCACAGGTATTTTATTATTTTTAATGTAATTGTAAATGGGACAGTTTCCTTAATTTCTCTTTCTGATAGTATGAAACTTATATCTATATATATATATTAATTTTGTATCCTGCAACTCTACCAATTTATTGATGAGCTCTAATAGTTTTGATCATAGTGATAATTTTTAAATAAAACAAAGAAACCAAAAAGACTCTTCATTGCTCACCAAAGAAGGATGCAGACAACCAGCTCATTACTTTGGAAACAGTAAACAAAAGCAAAGAATTAAGTATTTATTCCTTTTCCTGTTAGAACTCTAACTCAGGATAAACAGTCAATTAACAGAAATTCTCTTTACAGATGTAATCTACTAAATTAAGAAAGAATTATGAAAACAGAATTATCACTGGTTTGAAGCCCCATGTGAACCAAAAGCTACAAGCAATGATTGTCAATAGAAACACCAACAAAAAGAGAGAATCAAGCATTATGTGCCTCATGGTGTAGTTTTCAAAACAATATATGACATATTCTTGCAGAAATGTGAGCCTCAGTCTGTTCAAGCCTCTATATCAAAATCACAATTAAAGAAAATTTAGGACCAGAAAATGGCTAGATGAAACCATGTGGATGCAATCAGCAAAATCCAGAATGTGAGATACTATACAGGGCAAACTATCTAGTTTCTACAACAATAAAGTTCAAGGGGAAAAAAAAAAAAAACAGTATGAACCTATATACTAAAAGAGACATATCAACATATTGCAATGTTTGGAACCATTATGTATCCTGATTTTTTTTTTTTTAAGTGAGGATTGAGAAAATTTGAACACCAACTATATATTTCATATTAAGGAATTTTACTAACAATTTTAGTATGATAATGGTACTGGGTTATTTATGTGTTAAAATAGATGTCCTTTTCTTTTTAATAACATATACAAACATACTTACAAATGAAAAAATATAAATAATATGATTAAGAGTTTGCTTCAAAATAATTCAATGGGAGGTAAAGAGAATGAGTGGAGTCAAGATAAAATAAAATTGGCTACAAGATGATTAAGTAGCTAATGCATAGGTAGATAATGGGTACATGGTGTTTCATTATACAATTTGCTCTATTTTTGCATATGTCTGAAGTTTTCCAAATTAAAAGTTTTTCTTTAATCTGCCTTCCAGAAAAACTATAATAAAATCAGTTACACTTGCCTGAAAATGTCAGATTCAATTTATTAATCTCCCAAATGTATTTACATTTTCGCACAAAGCTAAGGCCTTAAAGCAAAAGAATTATACTGATGGTATATTTTAAGAAATCAGCAAGTCAGTGAAAAATTTTCCTTATATTGTGAAGAGAAGGATTCCCAGCAAACTTAAAATCAAGAAAGACACATAAAGAACCAACCAATTCAGCTTACTTTTTAAGTAAGCATTTGGGTTTGAGAATGATCTGGTAATATAATAGACAACTCCTGGTTCACCTTTGTCATTGATTACCTGCCTGTTTACCAAGAGTAAGATGGGATTTCAACTATGTCCATTTACTACATGACTGTCTTACCAAATTTACAATCTATTTTTTTAAGTCTTTAAAATGTTCTTAAGTTCATCAAAGGATAAATAAAAGCTGAGTTTTAAAATTCTGGTCTTTTATCAGACACCTAAGTGTTTTCCACAAATAACAAGGCAGCAAACTTTAAAAACAATTTAGAACTGCTTTAATATTATTGACATTTACAGAAAAGCAGACTTACATACCTTGCCTGGACTGTGAAGCTGCTACAGGAACTTCTTGGTTTGGCTCAAAAGGAAGCTCAGGTGTTAGGTTTTCAAACTGCTCTTTACTAATGAGATTTAGCTTCTTAAAGTTCTCAACTTCTTGCTAAAGTAGAATGGAGGAATCTAATTACTAAACTGGCTAAGAGAGTAACCAACAGACAATAATTGATACCAATCTCAAAAAAAATGAGTTTTAAAAACTGGAATTGATGGCAACAGAATAAAAAAAGATGTTCCAATAAAGAATCTAGCATTATACTTAAAAATAATTAATATTCAGAGTCTAAAGGTGGCATCAAGAACCCTAAAATGTTATGAACATTTTATAATTAAAACATATTATAAGAACATACATTCTTATCATTAATTACTTATTGAGCATTGACACACAAGACCATTAAGGTATTATAGAGGTTACAAAGTAATCTAATACACGTTCCCTATCCTTAAGGAATTTACCAGTTAGAGAGAAAGGAGTGTACAAATAAAAATAATATTAGACAGTATATGAAAAGTGTAATATTTGGTATAAGAATTGAGATCATAAGGGAGGCATCACAGAGGAGATGAGACAAAAGAAGCTCCTTAAATGAGAATTTAGAGAAAGGGAAAAGAATCCTAAATTAGGTACTATGAGCACAGATGAGAAGCTTGGAATAAACAGTCATTTATTAGAAGATAATTCAATAAATGAGAGAATTTATTTAGAACTAGTGGCAAAAAAGCCTAATAAATAAGTTGGAGAAAGCTAGTAGACCTTTAATACTAGTCCAAGAGGTTTCTACCTCATTTTCTAATAGAGGAAACATGTGATGAAAGATAAATCTAGATGGATCTGAAGAGTCATTTCCAAACCCCTTTTATAAGCTTAGCAGCAAGGATGCTGAGTAGGTCTAAGTTGTTAGCTCTAAGAAAGAATGGGCCCATCCATGTCCCTAGGCGCCCTTCTAATTTTTGTTAGATAATTACTTAGATTTTCCCTGCCCTGAACTTCAAATACGCAAAACATTACAAAGGTAGAGGCCATTCTCTACTGGAAGGTTATTTGGTCATAGTGCATGACGACTATCCAAACCTGGCCAAAGCCGCAGGGGAAGCAGGGAAAGAGTTTGAGGGGCTGCTTATATTGTATTACATCTAGTTATTTTCCCCAATAAACCCTATATCATGTCTACATCACTCAGTGCTAATATGTCCATAACCTTTTACAGCGTAACATCTAAAAAGAATGGACACAGGTAAAAGACAATATTATTTGTCTGATGAATCAAATTAAACAACATCATTACAAAATAGTTGTGACATCTTGCTCTTAACAGCTAACCAAACCACCTTTTCCTTCTTTCTTCAAATATGAATAGCTACTTGCCAGTTCACACCATTTATGAGATCCAGTTAGCCTTTCAAAATAGGATCTATCTTTTTTCCATGAAAATGTCTGAAATGATTACTTCCCCCATACCAAAATTACTTTCCCAAAGGTCTTCAAGAAACTCTTCAAGCTAATTCAGAGTCATTACTCTTCACTGGCCCTTATCTTGCTTACAGAGCTTGCTATTAGCAACTCTCACTTCAGTGAACATTTATTGTATGCTTCTCACATGCCATAAATGAATAAAACCAGTTCTATTCTGATAGGAACACAAATTATATGTTTCTGTTTGGTTTTTAATTTTTAAAATTAACTAAGGTATAACACACCCAAATTTATATATACATATACACATTATTGAGGACATAAATCATAAGTTTATATCTCAACGAGGGGTCAAAAGTGAATGAACCAGTGGGACCACCATTTGGGTAAAGATATAACTAAGCACCCTGGAAGTACCCTTCATGCACCTTCCTATTACTACCCTCTTTCTTCCTAAAGATAACCAACACTCTGACTTTAATTCTATAGATTTGCCTGTCTTTCAGTTTTATAAAAAAAGCAGTAACATATGGTTTCTTTTACACGAAAATATCTTTATGAGATTCATTATAGTTTGTGACTCTACACCAGAGATCAGCAAACTAAAGCCCCTAAAAGCCAAAGTTTGTTTTTGTTAAGTAGTTTTATTGGAACATAACCACACCTATTTGTTTACATACTGCATATGGCTGGCTCCAGCGCTACAACTGCATGGTTGAATAGTTGCCATAGTCAATGTATGACACACCACGCCTGAAATATTTACTACATAGCTCTTCATAGAAAAAGTTTATCCATCCTTGCAATAATCAAACCTGGTTTTTAAAAAATCCATTCTACTGCTGATGAGCATTCAGGTCCTTTTCAGACTATAGTCATTATAAAAAATGTTACCGTAACTATGTTTTTACAGAACACTTACTTTGGTCAACAGACATATTTTTTCCCTCTTTAAGAAAAAATTCTTATAGGCATATAGTTGATTTACAATGTTGTATTACTTTCAGGTGTACAGTAAGTGAATCAGTTACACATATATTCACTTTTAAAAGATTCTTTTCCCATTTAGATCATTACAGAGCATTGAGTAGAGTTTCCTATGCTATACAGCAGGTTATTATTAATTATCTGTTTTATATATAGTAGTCTGTACATGTCAGTACCAATCTCCCAGTTTCTCTCTCCCCCTGCCCTATCCCCTGGTAACCATAAGTTTGTTTTCTATATCTGGGACTCTTAAAATAGAGCTTGCTTTCTTTTCTCTCTCTCTCTTCTTTTTGGCTGCATAACATGGCATGCGAGATCTTAGTTTCCAGATCAGGGATTAAATCCACGCCTCCTGCAGCAGAAGTGTGGAGTCTTAATCACTGGACCACCAGTTTAGTCTCTTTCTTTCTTTTTCTTTTAAACTGAAGTATAATTGACATTTATTTTATGATTGTGAGAGCTGGACCATAAAGAAGACAGGGCACCAAAGAACTGATGCCTTCGAACTGTGGTGCTGGAGAAGACTCCTGAGAGTCCCCTAGGCTGCAAGGAGATCAAACCAGTCAATCTTAAGGTAAACCTACCCTGCATACTCATTAGAAGGACTGATGCTAAAGCTGAAGCTCCAGTATTTTGGTCACCTGATGCAAACGACCAACTCATTGGAAAAGTCCCTGATGCTGGGAATGACTGAGGCCAGAAAGAGAAGAGGGCATCAGAGGATGAGATAGCTGGATGGCATCACCGATGCAATGGACATGAAGTTGGGCAAACTTTGGAAGATGGTGGATAGGGAGGTGTGGCATGCTACAGTCCATGGGGTTGCAAAGAGTCAGACACAACTGGGTGACTGAACAACAACAATAATTGATATATAATATTCTATGTTATGAGGGCTATCCCCAGGGGCTCAACAGTAAAGAATCTGCCTACAATGCAAGAGACTTGCAGGATATGCCAGTTCCATTCTTGGGTCGGGAAGATCTCCTGGAGTAGGAAATGGCAACCCACTCCAGTATTCTTGCCTGGAGAATCCCATGGGCAGAAGGGCCTGGTGGGCTAGAGTCCAGGGGGTTACAAAGAGTCGGACAAAACTGAGCAACTAAACAACAGCAAGAATGATTCTAAGTGATAGGGGTACAACATAGTGGTGCACAATTTTTAAAGGTTATATTCCATTTATAGTTATTATAAAACATTGGTTATATTCCTTGGGTATGTACAACATATCCTTATATCCTTATCCTATACTCAACAGTTTGTACTTCTTACTAACCCACCTCTATATTGCCTATCCCTCCTTTCCTCTCGTGCAGGTAACCACTAGTTCGTTCTCTATATCTGTGAGAATGTTTCTTTTTTGTTATATTCTCTAGTTCGCTGTGTTTTTTAGATTCCACATATAAATGAGATCATACTTCCTCTGACTTACTTCGTTTAGCATAATTCTAAGTCCATCCACATTGCCGCGAATAGCAAAATTTTGTTCTTTTTGTGGCTGAATAGTATTCCACTGTGTCTGTGTGTGCACATAAACACATAAATACATACACCACATCTTCTTTATCCACTCATCTGTTGATGCACATTTTGGATGCTTCCATATTTTGGCAATTGTAAATATTGCTGCTATGAACATTAGGGTGTGTGTATCTTGTTAAATTAAGTGTTTTTGTTGTTTTCTCAGATATACATCCAAGACTGGAACTGTTGGGTCACATGGTGCTTCTACTTTTAGATTTTTGAGAAACCTCCATACTGCTTTCCACAGTGACTGCACCAATCTACATTCCAACCAACAGCGTAGGAGGATTCCCTTTTCTCCTTACCCTCACCAACATTTGTTATTTGTGTTCTTTTGGATGAGAGTCATATTGACAGATGTGAGGTGATATCCCATTGTGGTTTTGATTTGCATTCCCCTGATGATTAATCATGCTGAGCATCTTTTCATGTGCCTGTTGGCCACCTCTCCTCTTGGGAAAAATGTCTATTCAGTTCTTTGACCCATTTTTTAATCTTTTTTTTTTTTTTATATTGAGTTGTATGAGCTGTTTGTACATGCTGGATATTAACCCTTTACTGGTCATATAATTTGCAAATTCTCTCAGTTGGTAGAGAGGTTGTCATTTCCTTTTGCTGATGATTTCCTTTGCTGTGCAAAATTTTTTTAAGTTTAATTAGGTTCCATTTGTTTATTTTTTGCTTTTATTCCCTTTACTTTAGGAGACAGGACCCCCCCCCCAAAAAAAAAATTTTCCTGTGATTTATGACAGCAGACATGGCATACATTTTTACTGAGTATTTACTAGGAGTGGAATTGCTGAATTAGGTGGTGTACTTCAACTTTAGTAGAAATTGGCAAATATGTTTTCAAAGTGGTTGTGCCTATTTATATTCCAACTAGCAATATATAAGTTCATATTGCTCTACATCCTCATCAACCCTTTGGATTGTCAGTTTTTAAAAATTTAGTCCTTTTGAAAATGATGAAACTATGAATATAAACATTCTGAATGGACCTCAAGGACATTATGATTGAAAAAAATTGTCAGTCTCAAAGGGTAACATGCTATAAGTTTCCATTTATATAACATTCTCAAAATGACAACATTGCAGAGATAGGGAAAAGATTAGTGGCTACCAAGGATTAGGAATAGCAGAAGGGAGGCAGATGGGTGTAAATTTAATAGCAGAAG